GTCCCATTACATCTTTGTACCCGATGGTTTCCTTATCGACTTTGGCGTTTAAGTCTCCCATCAGAATGGCCAGGTCCTTTCATGGGTATCATCGATCGAAGCCTCCCGTAAAATTGGCCTTTATTGTCGTCATTGTTATTATTGATGAGAGCATAGCACTGGATAACACTCATTGTTATCCTCTCCTTCTTTGTGTTTAAGTGATGCTTTGATTATTCTGGATCCATGAGATTCACATCCTATACGTGCATTTCGTGCTTCTTTGGACAGCGTCACAGCTATTTCCTGTGTGTGGAGCATTTTCCTCTTTGTGACCTAAGTGCAGCAGCATCTCTTCTCGATTCGAACTTTTCTGTCCAGCTTGGGTTCAGTGGGTTTCACTGATTCCGAGTAACATCAGGTTGTATCTCCTCATTTCGTAGCTATTTTTTCGTTGGTCCTCTTGATCTTTCATACTGTCCGGATATTCCACGTACCCATATTAATCGCCGCTCTGGTTTTTATAATGGGCATCGGCCTCGTAACTTCCGAAGAACCTCGGCTTTCAGCATGCGACTCCACAATTTGTTTATATTATTCTCTTAGTTTATTCTAGTTAAAGTTTTTTAGTAAGGTTGTTTTGTACGCAGTGGAGTTGCTCACCCCATGCCCATCTTCCTTCCTTTACCCGGGTTGGAAACCGGCAACAAACCTGGAAGAGCTGCAGGCTGAGTTAATTTCTTTGCTTGCAGAATATCTTTCTCCAAACATATGCTCGATTCTGTTAAACATCTAATATAACATCGAAACTGAATGTAAAAACTCGGAGTGTCTACAATTTGACCAATTTTCACTAACTGATTTAGTATTTCTCTTATGTTGGTTATGGATTTTAACTGTAAGCAAGGACCGAAATGAAATATTTTGGTACATTTTAGACATCAGTTCTGCTGGACACGTCCCTACCCAAAGGCTCCCCATATCATGTTTAGACACCTTATGCTGCGCATTTTTACGACAACTAGTCAGTATAAGTCACATAAAACAGCCATTATCTTGGTACAGCATTGAATCCCCCCATTTTCAACTTATTGGTTAGCTGGTTCAGGGGATACTCGTATTAGTAGTTTTGAGCGACAGTGATTTTAAGAACAAGTTCCTGACTGTTTTCCATATTTTCTTGTTTTCGCTCAAACACGTTCATGTAAATTGATCTGAACACCAATATACCGCACATTTATCACATAATTATGACCAAACGACTTTATTCCATAAATGTTCGTGTTCTTTATTTGCCATTTTAACAGATTTCACCCGAGATATTAGTTTCGTGATCTCGGTCTTTTCTTTTAAAAAACATATTTTGAATCTTCATGTTACTTTGTCTTATACATACATACATGTCGGTAATTCACAAAAGTATACGCTTTACTCCATTCTCGCCGTATTCTCTGCTACGCACCTGTTCAATCATCAGGTTTCTTACGAATCCACTGTACATACTTTATCTATTGAATCAAGTAATGTTCTATTGGATTAATTCTCACAGCATTCAAGTAAGCGTAGTATTTTAGGTCAATTATTTCGTGAATATAAATTTGCAGGTTAATTAAAAGACTTTATACCTGAGCTACAGAAACAGATCATGAAGTGCGATCTCGGGGATCAATTCGAAACCCAGCTTCATGGCCGGTTGATTGCTGGGACAAATATTCCAAATTAAGAGTGAGAACTAATTCGGAAACCTAAGACTTCATTCCAAGAAATTAAAACAGCAGGTTTAACTATGAGGCAGTAAGCGAACTTGACTTCCAACCAGTGAAAATTTCTAGTAACTTGCTTAGTTCTCATGATAAACCACAACCTTAGAGTCGCTCAAGTTTGCATTTATTTAATAATAAATCATAATCGTGGAAATTTAAAAAATGATCCAACAAAGAATTCCAAAGCACGTTACAGATTTGAGCACATGTGGTACATTTTACCTACGTGATCTATATAGATCACATATGTGTCTTTCATCACGCCGAATTCTTTAAATGTGGTAAAATGGGACACATCGAGTCGGTATGTATTAACCAGAAAATGAATACGAAGTGTTGATTACGTTTATTATTATACCACGCACAGATAACCAAAATTACATGTACGTTAAGCAAGCAGGCAAGCGAGTCAATGAACAGAATTATAATACACATACATAGTGAAATGGATGAATCATCGATTCAATTAAGCGACCACTACCAGAATAAATATGTGCGTAGGCGGTAAGCAATGCTCAACCATACATATTCATACAAGTACAACAATAATAGAGATACAATGGTATAGATAAGTTGTTATTGAAGGAATGACTCTGTTCGTTAAGTGATTTAACAAAGGTAAATGCGAACAAACTCAATTGCACGTTAGCTGTTATAAGTGCCTATGACCATACGGTTTAGCACAGGAGTGTCAAACAAATTCAACATTTTGATTACATTTCTCGACAATCATTACAACATAGACCTGTTAATACTTCAGGCTGTTTGATAGTGCAGACTTTACTAGTGAAACGTCTAGGCCTCGTTAGAGAAATTCATAGATACTTTGGATGTATACTCATTGTAATATGCAAAGCTTGGAATGCTAATTTGAAACGTGGATTTCCTGTCTATTTCTCAGTGCGGGATGAGTTATGCACTACTCCTGATGATATTTTGTGTTTAAATGATCGTGTTTCTATTCCTCCTTCATTATTCCAATCTGTCCTTGAACATCTTCATAGTGGACATTTAAGCGTTGAGATGAAGTCCTGAGTTATTTTCACAACTTCAGCAAATTCTGACTTTACAATCCAGCCATTAAGAAAGGTGTTTAGTCGGGAAGGGGCTACTATGATTTGACTGATAATGGCTCTTGTTTTCCTGCAGACACAGTTATTACTTGGTTGAACAGCATAGGGTGCGAACATCTGTCCACTGTTCCCAGGTACCCTTGTCGCAGTGGTCAGGGAGAAAAGTTTGACAGGACATTAAGAACTGATGTTAATGTCATTGCTATTTCAACATTTGATGAACTGGAGACAGAAGTAAACATATTTCTGTGACGAGACTTCACCAAACTTGATAAAGGGTGGTGTTTAAAGATGTCGCAATTATTTGACGTCATCATAACCAAAGTATACTAACCCAGTCAAATAATAAATGAAGGGATCCGAAGATATAGTTGGAAAGCCATAGATATGTTGAGAAGCGTTTGGTCTAAGCTGCAAGGGTGTGTCTACTCGTGATCTGGTATGGATGCGTGACCGAACCCCTTCAGCCAGGATGTGTTCATTAAACCTAGTAAGGTCAGCATTAACGTAGAAAACCTACAGAAGTATTTATTTCGACAGATTATCTGTTCGAATATGAAGTGTTTAGGATGTGCTGAAGTTACATATCGTGGGAATGATTTTCAACCATCCACGGGGATTGTAGTGAATAATGTTCGAAAACCTATGGTTCGAATTCGAAACATAAATGATTTAAGTACACATAATCGATATGGTGACCAAATACAATTCCAGGGACCGGATTATGCAGTCTACATCAAATACACAGCCGAACAGATACATGGTAACCTAAGAAGGCTGTTGTGATGTGCTTGAAATCCGATACTGATACACTGTATGCTCCGCGCTAACCCCCTACAACCGAGTGCTTGAGCGAGAACACAAAACGCGGGGAAGTGTCGGACTACCGAATGGAAAGCAGTTACTCATTCACATATATACAACGCTACTCTTAGGAAATTGACCCCAATGAAATGCACTTGACCTTTTGCTACTTCTAGTTGGCTGTCCATATCAATGGCAATCAACCCATTATAGGAATTCGGATTCCCATTTAAGCTGTTGTAGTATTTGTGCCAACTGATGATTCCTTTGTACTTAGTGAGAAGCCGTGACCAGTGGAGTCCAAGCTGTGTCGAGTGTGAGACATTTATCCACCCCACACAATGGATGAAGGGTTGTGCAAGGTCATGGACTGATTGGAGTTAGGCATTACCATCGTTAAATATTGGCCTAGTGATCTAGGCATCTGCGCGCGAGACCGAAGGTTTTCGGTTCGAGTCCCACCTGCCGTATCGTGTACACACTGCTTAGGAGTTTCATGATAGGACGAAACGGACGCCCAGTGCTTTAAAAGGTGGTCTAGGTTAGATTGACTCTTGAACTCAATCGGTGTGTTCGTGTCATTTTAATTTACTATATAGGTCAAATAAATCATTATCAGCAATCTTTGTACTTTCACTTCTTGTTGTTGTAGTTACCGTCCCCATGTAGAACAACAGTAATCTCCATACATTTTCCAGATTCCCCAACATTTAAACTCGTTCAGTTACTCTTTCTCGATCTTTTCAACACATCAAATGTAAAAATAATCCACTAATACTTTAACTCCTGTTTAACAGTTGATTATGCTAGTAAGTTAAGTACCTGATTAGCCTCACGCTACTGAGATAAGAATGATAATAGTCAATAGTAAGCTTCCCATTTCCATTTTTCGTAAGGATTACAAGGGGATTTAATGTAATGATGTGACAACGCGCTACGAGCAAAAGATAATTAAATATTGGTTATACAAACCCCTAGCATACATCAGACCATAACTATTGTTTACCACATCCCGCATAGATGTAACCACCAGAACAATGAAACTAAGATACTTATACCTTGTTTTGTGCTACTTAAGATTTCTCGTATTTGAATGCATACCTAGACGACTAATTAGAGATACGGAAGTCCCTTTAGTTAATCAAATCCACATATTCAGACGAGGAAAATGTCAAACGTAAAACTACTAACCAACCCAAAAATTTCATTTTTCAAGGAACAAGTCACAAGGATGCCCCAACAAACTACTACATACAATTCATCATGATATGATTTATGAAAATTTGAAGGTTAAATATATGCTTGTGAAAAAGAATATATATATATATATATATATATATATATATATATATATATATATATATATATATATATATATATATATATATATATATATATATATATGGGAAGACTATATATTGCAAAATATCTTCAAGTAAATAACTCAAATAAATTATATTATTTGTCATCTGTTGTCTGATAGAACATATAGCTAATCAATAAAGAATCCGATCTGAAATGAGTACAACACACAAAATTATGACATATTTGGCCAGTAACTGTCAATCATTCGTAACTTATGGCATGCATATTGTTCTAGTCCTAAAAAGCAGATGGGTAGATAATAGATAAGTTGTGAAAGGTAGAGTTTAATAAAAACGGAGATAGTTAAAGTTACATTTACACGACATCTTACAAATGGTTTCATAAAGTTACTTACATATTAAATAGGAATGATTTTAATCATCCTCAAAAAGGGAAAATGTACCTTACTGATTATTCATTAAATTGATGTTCCGTTATTTATCAACAGTACACCTATAACAATATTCTTACAAAATATCACTATCCATCTATAGTTTATCTCAGTGTGACGGTGCAATTTGTAGTTTTGTGATGCATTTAAATAATCCGTCAAAGTCTATTCAGTTTTTATTTATTTATTTATTACGGTTGTTGACCTGGCTTTTACATTTTATAATTTGTTATCAATAACATGAATTGTGTTCTAGGTACTCTATCACGTACATCTTGACGAGCAATATCAACACATTACAATTAATCCTTAGTCAAACATGTTCTTAGTTCGACTTCAATGCGTTAGATCAAGTTGCTGTAACCACTAAGCCATCGCAATACACAATGCCACTCATCAATCAATTATAAGTTCATGCACTTAACGTCAAACCAAACATCTATTGCTTTTTGAACCCTCATCATGAATTATTTACTAAAGGGATACCCATTCAATCTGCGTGTTTTCAAAGTAGAAATCCTAATCTGAATAAATAAACGGAACTGATTTAAACGACATTACATCTTAAGATATACATCCCATGCTAGCACTGAAATGACAGTAAACAAATACAAGTTAAGAAAGAACGATTAAGAGATAAGAAAATATGGACGATATTGAATATTTAACCAACAATTGGGACAGTGGATCTTCCCACCCCATTCACCACTTCACCGTCATTTTTCCTTTTACATATGTATTGAAAATATATATTCCATTGTCTTGATAAGTCAGTAGTACGATATCTATGACTGAAAGTCTTCCAGTTTTCCAAGTGGCTTGACAAGATACACTACTAATACTATTTCCTTCCTTTTCTTCGAATAAATCAGATGAATATTCTGTACTTCTGTTTACTATTCCGAGTAAAGTATAAGTTATAAACTTTTTTTACAGAAATAGTAAGATGAACACAATAAAATCGAAAAGTTGACCATTAAATTATTCGCTACTTAACTAAAGCCAAAGATTTTAAAATTAATACCAGTGATTCTTTTAAATAGACTAAACAGTAACAAACCGTCTTTTTTAACCGATTCGTAAATGATGCGTATTGATGTTGGCACAGGATGCTTGCCATCTATGCGCATAATCCAAAGATCTGGAGATAACCTATGGTAACCACGACATTAAATAACAAGAAATAAAATAAAAGGTTGAGAAGTACTCACTAAAGTTAACGCCCCTAAAAATATTTCCTGTAACGACTCAGTTCGAAATCAAGTACTTTAACAAAATGCATAGATGTATGCCATATACTGAGCTTTGTGTCTGATTTGTCCAGTTAAAATGACCTGTAACTGGTCAAGTTGATCAGACAGATATCTTACGTATCATATACATAATTATTCATACTAAAACATGCACCTTTGGTGTTCGCACTTAACCTACAGCATAAATGTGACTCACCAATAATTATATAACCACCAATTTCAGACCCCAAGGTTGTTCATAGCACCTTGATAGGACTGCAAAACATATTTAGAATATAACGTTTAGTCCTGTCATTTCATTCACTCTCCTTAGATTATTATAAACCTTGCTACACTATCCCAATACGTATCCGTATTAATTTATGACCAGCTTCGATACAAAACTTGTTACATTCCACTTGAATTTTAGATATTCAAATATTACAAACTGTTATCATCCAGTGCGAATCTAAAGAATTCATGTTACACCAACACTGGATCCAGGTACGTCCGGATGATGAATCTCAAACAGGAAGAAATCCCTGTAGATCCCACTGTTAATCACAATCTGTCTATTCTATAAGCAGTTGTGATAAAAACGACCATGGTGAAGCGGTCCACACAGAATGCAAATATGCCAAGTGATAAAATCCAAGTCAAGAATATCAACAGCAGAACAATTTAAATCCTTTCCAAAAATCATACATATGAGATTATTGAATATCACATAATAAGTAACGTAATTTTATCACCATTTTGGACATGTGGTGTAGGCTACTTATGTTGACATATATAAGCAGTATGTAAAACCGATCTGAAGTGGAATGCATGTCAGATCTGATTCGCGGAGACTTATTTCGACATAGCAACCGGTGGACAAGAAAATACATAATGGATCTGGTTCTTCGTGCGCTGGACAATTCTTAGCAATTCTTAGTAAAGAAAGTGTCAATCGCAACAAACACGTACGGACAATTAGCAAGCGGAAGCTATAAAGCTCAAACGACATCGAACAACCGGTCGTCTTCCATAAGAGCTAAGATCCATACTTCGTCGATTAAAGGATCAGTCCATTGTGTAATTTGCTCCGATGCCCACGAAGTCGCATCTTGCCCTCAGCTGTTGTCAGTAAGTCACAACGAAAAATTAGAATTGCTGAAGAAGTTTAAACTTTGCTTTAATTGCTTAAAACCCAATCATCGAGCCACAGGCTGCAGACAGCCCGTGTTGTGTGAAATTGATTGATGCAAGCGACGCCATCATAGAATTCTTCACAACACAGAACCTGATGCTAAACAAGCATGTTGTAACTCTACTCATACTACTGGGACGTATTTAGGCTTTGTACCAGTCAGACTACATGGTCCCATAGGTTATGTGGATACCTATGCATTGTTAGATAATGGCTCAGACTCGACATTACTGCTTAGTGACGTGGCAAAGCAGGTAGGAATTTCTGGTACAGTGACAAGATTAAACATATCTTCAGTAATTGGAGCGTCATCTCAGAACGCTAAACTTACCAATTTCGAAATTGAGTCTTTAGATAAGACCAACCGAATAAAAATCGAAGGCGCATATACTATAGATAACCTACCTATTAAAAGAGCAGAAATCCCACCAACGGACTTCCAAGAAAGATGGAAACACTTGAAAGGTGTACAACTACCCACCATAGCCTGTGACAAGGTTGGTTTGTTACTTGGTGTTGACGTTCCAGAGGCCCACTGGGTACTCGATCAGCGTATCGGAAAACCTAAACAACCCTATGCTTCGCTAACCATGTTAGGGTGGGCTTTATTTGGACCAACGGGTCAACTTAATAAAACTTCAGTCTTCATGAACTGTTTAAAAGCTGCTACCTTGACGCGGTGGTCGGGCTTGCCTATCGTGATGACCCAACCGAGCTATACTGGCTGGAACATATGTTCCTGCAGGTTCTACCATGCCAGGCAGGTCGATTGGCGAACGGTAAGACTAAAAGCAGCAACTCAAGGTCTGAGGGCGAAGTCGTACTGCTGACTGTAGAGAGGTGTGACAGCAGTAAGGTGTTTCCCTCGGACAACCAGCATGACAGCGATGCTGCCTTCCCACAAGGAGGGGTGGGGTTAGAAAAGGTCGACCCTAAAAATGCACACCTCACCTTACCTCACGGATTTCCGTCTCCGGCGGTAAGGCCCCTTGAAGAACGGAGCTAACACGTCAAAAACCTTCCACAAAAAGGCCGTGCGCGACCGGCCTCAAGCAGTTGTCCCTTGGGCTCTGCGGTCACGCTCCCAGGTCGTCAAGACCAACACTAATCCAATTTCCTTTTCAGGTTCCTCAAGAAATACCCTTCCACGGTGTGGGCAGCCGGGAAGTGACATCAGCCCTCATACCCGTAACAGCACAAGAGACCAAGGTGGTCACATTCAAATCCTTCCTACACCTCCTAATACCTCTCTTATCCTCCCGACTAACGCTCCTCACGTCTCTTTATCACCTCGCACCGCTAGGGCAAACGATTCGAGTACGTGGAACGCTATTCCTGGTCTCCTGAAACCACGCTCTAAACTACACGTAGGAGCTTTTAACGTACGAACACTTTGCCAAATAGGACAGCAGGCTTCCTTAGCTAAAACTTTAGAATCTCGTGCCATCGATGTGTGCTGCGTCTCCGAAACGCGCATACAGGATCCAAGTAGCGTCATTCATTTGACCTCACCATGCCAAAATACAGAACCGACTCGATTTACGCTTCGTGTATCTGGAAGCCCTGATTCTGCTTCCCGTGGCCTCGCCGGCGTAGGTATAGCATTGAGTCCTAGGGCAGAACTAGCTCTCTTAGAGTGGATACCAGTAAACAGTCGTTTGTGCGCTGTCCGACTGAACGGAACAGTAAGAATCCGGAAAGATAGGGACACTCGTCGTTGCCTCTTCGTCGTCTCTGCTTATTCTCCCACTGACTGCAGCTCAGATGATGTAAAAGATGAGTTTTACAGAAAGCTTTCGGACCTTCTCCGAAAAGCTAGGCGCTCGGATGTAGTAATAGTGGCCGGTGACTTTAATGCTCAAGTAGGTAAACTAAGCGATAAGGAAAGACACCTAGGTGGATCCTATGGTGTCGTGGCTCAAAGGACAGATAATGGGGACCGTCTGTTGCAGCTATGCTCAGATAACCGCCTGTTCCTTGCAAATACTAACTTTAAGCATAAGGATAAACATCTTTTAACATGGCGACCCCCTAATTCGTCCCAACGTTGGACCCAAATAGATCACATCGCTATCAGCCACCGATGGAGGGGCTCGATAGAAGACTGTCGCTCGTTCTGGAGCACATGCTTAGATACAGATCATGCTCTAGTGCGAGCGCGCGTTTGCTTGCGTCTTACTGGACGTAGGAAAGATCTTGCAAGGAAACCTCTTAGGGCCCTACTTAATGATAGTCAAGCTAAGAGTATATTTCAGGAACAACTAGGAAAACAGTTAGACAGCCATGTATGTGATGCCCACCCCGATGCAGCATGGAATGATATCCGAAAAGCTGTGGAAACAGCAGTGATATCTGCTAGTAAGGTAAACCAGAAGGTTAGGGAGCAACACTGGATCTCAGCAGCATCTATCTCACTGATAAATGCTCGGAAACACATTCCACCTGGCTCTGAACATAATGAAGAGCGGAGTCAGATTAAGCGCAAGCTGACAAGAAGTCTACGTAATGATCGCGAACAGTGGTGGGTAGCGAAAGCAAGAGAGATGGAAAAGGCAGCGGCAATAGGTAATAGCAGACAATTGTTTAGACTCGTTAAGGAAACCGGAATTAGGAACCCGACCGTTAGCGAAACAATCTCAGAGAAAGATGGACATATTATTCATTCTCAATCCAGGAGATTGGATCGATGGGCAGAACACTTTAGGGATCAGTTCAACTGGCCTTCAGCCACATTTCGGTTTCTAACGATCTCCAGTCAACCTGAATGGCAAGTTAATGTAGGTCCTCCGACTTTTTACGAAGTTGAAAAAGCCATAGGAAATCTGAAACGAGGGAGAGAAGCAGAGCCTGACAGGTTTACTCCTGAGATTTTTAAGGATGGTGGTCCAGTATTAGCAATGAGATTAACCGAGGTCTTAGGTAGAATTTGGGAACTGGACGTAATCCCATCTGACTGGTCTCAATCACTGATTGTGCCAGTCTATAAGAAAGGACAAAAGTCCTCTTGTGACAATCACAGAGGAATCAGTTTGACTAATATAGTGTCTAAAATATTAGCCTCAATCATACTTCGACGCCTAACTAAAGCTCGTGAAGAGCAGACTAGAGAAAACCAGGCTGGTTTTCGACCTGGACGTGGTTGTATAGATCAGATATTCACACTACGTCAGGTTCTGGAACACAGACACACATTCAGACGCCCCACAATGGTAGTATTTCTCGACTTTAAGGCGGCATTTGACTCTGTTGATCGTGAGATTCTATGGCAGTGTTTGTCACTGAAAGGAGTACCAAAGAAGTACATTAACCTTATAAAGGCTCTCTACTCGAACACAACTGGTAGAGTGAGAGCTTATGGCGAACTGTCATCAGAATTGATTACCTCAAGTGGTGTTCGTCAGGGCTGTCCACTCTCTCCATTCTTGTTCAACTTTGTCATTGACGTACTTTTAGAGATAACACTTTCCTCATCTAAATTTACAGGGGTTGAACTTCTACCAGGAGGTTTACTTGTTGACTTAGAATATGCTGATGACATAGTTCTATTTGGTGAAGACGCTGACAAAATGCAGAGTCTTCTGACCACTCTAAGCAACAATGCAAGCATGTTCGGCATGCGATTCTCTCCCTCGAAATGCAAAATGTTGCTTCAGGATTGGGTGACATCGACACCCGAACTAGTGATAGGGAGTGAAGTAGTTGAGTGTGTCGACCGCTTCACTTATCTTGGAAGTCTCATCAGCCCTTGTGGTCTGGTGTGTGACGAAATCTCAGCACGGATACAGAAGGCTCGACTAGCTTTTGCCAACTTGCGTCATTTATGGCGTAGGCGAGATATCCGTCTATCAACCAAAGGACGGGTTTACTGCGCAGCAGTTCGTTCTGTCCTACTTTATGGCAGTGAAACATGGCCGGTAAGAGTAGAGGATATCCGTAGGTTACTAGTATTTGATCATAGGTGTCTTCGAAACATTGCTCGTATATCATGGGACCATCGAGTAAGTAACACAGTTGTTAGGAAACGGGTGCTAGGTAAGGATGGCAAATCAATTGATGAAGTAGTGAAACTTCATCAGTTGAGATGGCTGGGACACGTGTTACGTATGCCCAACGACCGACTGCCTCGACGTGCTATGTTCAGTGGTATAGGAGTAGGTTGGAAGAAAGCTAGGGGCGGCCAAACCAAAACATGGCACAAGTCCATGAAGTCACTGATAAGTAGACTGAGTCATGTTGGTAGGTGTAGACTACCTGGTTGGGGACCGCGAGATGACAGCAACCGATGGTTAGAGACCCTGAATGACATGGCTCAAAATCGTTTGCAATGGCGCAGGTGCATCCACTCTCTGTGTTCTCCCAAATTATAATCTTCTGAATTCTTCATGTCCCTTTTTTCCTCTTTCCAAATTTTTTTCACTGTATTATACTCTTTAAATAACATCTCCAAACCCTAATCTTCCCGATTACTGCTTATACTCTTATCACCTCTACCACTACGGGATTTGAATCGACAAGTGCATCTCTGTGCTAATGTGGTGTGGCAACTCGAACTAATGTACGTACGTACGAAGTTCTACGTTGTTACTGACTGACTGACTGCATGTCAGCAAAATATTAAGAAGATTCAATTGAGAAGAACAGAGAGGTAAACAGAAAGCAATTGTAGTAACAACAGAATGAAAAGAATGATGAAGCATGTAAAGGAAAAATGAGGGACGACGTGCAAATAATGTGTCTATTGTACGGTTTTCATATTATACGAAAGCATTCTGCAATTTTGCATTAAACAATAAGTTGGTTTCTCTACCAATTCTTCGTTCACTACAGACACACCACTCACATAGAAAGATTACAAATATTTGAAGCTTTTCATAAAATATAAAAAAGACAACTTACTCCGATAGCGGGACAACTAACTCAGATACAAGTAGAGAGAAACTATGAGTCATACAAAATGGCTTATTATTAGGCTCGTACAGTGCAGATTTCCATTCATTTTTTTGCGATTCTTGAGCCATAATTTTTCTACACAAAAGCAAACAAAAAATAAAATAAACAGGAGTGAGAGAATACACGCGAAAACTGATGCGATGGTATCACACTTGTTGTATGATATATTCAAAACAGCTTATTTTAGACATTTAAAGCAACACGAAATTTATAGTTATATTTTGTGATAAGTTTACAATAAATGACGAGAATAGAGGGATCATTAAGTGGATTACAGTGAAGATTAATCTAAAAAATAAATAATTATGTTGTATCCCAAAATTGTAGTTACATTAGTCTACTTCCTAGAAGTATTATCTTACAAACATTGAAGCTAAACTGTCAAATGTTACCATTCTATACCATGGACATTACACTATTTAAAACTTTAGAATGAAAATGGATCTCAGTTATAAACTAATTTGCAAAACTATAGCACACCGATTAGTTACATGAATGGTATATAAGGAAACTACCACGAAACTGTAGCGTAGAAACAGCAGTGTTCACTTTCTACTAACATAGCAACGAATATTAGCAGAGTAGTGAATTATCGAATATTAATGCATTTTTATTTTTTCTATAGATAAACCAACTAGGCATATGCACAGTTGAATGATTAGGCGTTGGAGTGTATGCAACACTAAAACCCTATTAGTTGGCTATGAAATCTTCCAACAAGTTCGATAACTGGGAGTAATTTCTAGTTGATTACATAATACATTTGTAGCAGAATTATAGCTGGAAGAAAACATTAACAATTAATTGTAACTAACAGTTTACATTAAATGTACATAATCAAATAGAATAATTAACAAACCTTAATTCAGAAATTAAAGATGATTTCGATATCATTGATCCAAGACATAACAAAAATGATACGGACTTATATAAATGGTGTAATACATCCCATTGACTTTCTAAATTCCATTCACTTTGTTTGTCTTTTTCAAAAAATGTATAGGACTCTGGAATTACTGAAATTAGAAATTTTTTCATTTACAAAATTGAAATTTTGTTCTTAAAAGAAAAATTTACTTAGGGTTTGGAACTTAATTGAATAGTTCTACTCCTGAAAAATACTTGCCAGACCGCATCACTGAATACATGCATGGTAAATATATATATATATATATATATATATATATATATATATATATATAGAGAGAGAGAGAGAGAGAGAGAGAGAGAGTGAAAGTGAGTATATTTTTACTTTTTGGAATTAAAAAGCATTCAAGTTATTTATTGCTAGTGAAAAGTTTGACTTTAATCCGAATTATGAGATTTAACTTGGATTTCAAAATCTTTAAACTACAAATTATAGAATATGATTAATACGTATTATCTCATGCTAGTCAATATTTACACTCTCAAATGAGGCAAAAAAATGAATGTTGACGAACAAAATGCTTAGCTTTATAAAACTAGGCGAACACTTATATATAGACAAGGCAACGAAAAATCTACAAAATAGTGATTTGAATTTTAAATTAAAGTGGTCGATTTATGTTTGGGTATAAATAAAATGAAGACATATAACTGACAGGTCATGAACTTTATTTTGAATGAAGGTAGTGTTGAAGCACTGAGACTAGAATTTTACACATTATCGTAAGTTGACTAATTTTGTCTTCCAAATAGATAACCGGAAGTTTGAAAAACACCTGTTCATGCGTAAGCACAGCGGGCAGGAAGATTAGTGGTGTTTTAATTTTTACTTACTACTCTCGAGAAGATAAACACAGTCGTTTATTACTTTATGGAGACCAATTTCGATAAGGGTTTCGATACCAAAATTAAAACGTCCATAGGGATTTTGACCGTATGTTTCTGTGGGATCGTGTAGATGACGTAGTCTGCAAGCGAGTTGAGTATGGTTGTGGTTAGCAAGCTTGTAGCATGAGGAAATAAATTGAAGCAATATTAAGTAACCTTCAAGATAAAGTAACCTAATAAACTTCCAAAAATTTGAAATTGAAAATCAGAACATGAAAAACAAATACATGATACAAAACCTACCGGTCACTGTATTGCTATGAAGCGAACGAATACTTGATCATGTGAAAGATGGACGCCAATGTACGCAAACACGCAACAACAACAACTAGGAGATTAACCTAAAATACCTTTCTATAAGACAGTGTAGTTCTTACTGTCAGCTAGCTCTACAAAAATGAGTGCGAAATACAAATCCTTCGCTTTAAGTAAATCCAAAATACCTATGGTTCTAACGGAATCTGAGCAAGTCATGCTAAAATAATCAGCTGAATTTCAATTAATCCGACCTTATCAGCACAACGTTAGAGAAGCGAAAAGAAAATAATCCAGGCGAGTTTTACCCTTTCCTGGTTAATTTACTGTTTTTAGCACTTCTCAACTTACATAAATTTTTTCTCCGTTACACTGGTTGTATATATTTCATACGAGCCACTCCCAAGACTTTTTGGTAGAAGAAATATTTGATACTTTTGTACTACATCATACTATCAAAAAAAGTGTGTTGTTTAGAGACATTTCTTAGTTCCAGTTGCTTTTGCGACATAATTGTCAATGTCACTAGGCTAAATGCAGGAACTTCTTATGTAAATTTTCTAACTCGTCATACTCCTACCTAAAGTTCTATAGGTTTCACTAGCTTTAAAATTATGTTTCTGGCCATGTTTACTGTCGTTAACTTGTCATATACCTCACAAACCTGCATGTTAACCTGGCCCGTACATGCGTTACATTATATCTCTATGTCTCATATTTAAAAACCATTTGAGTCGTCTTTAACATTTTTTTCAATAAACCCATCATAGTCATAATTGCTATATGTATTAAGGTTTATGAATTGGTCTATCATATTAGTAGTCTAAAAATACGAACATAGCTTAGATAACAAAGTCACGAAATTTAGGTACTATCATGATGCACTAGTATAATAGTTGTTTGCTAAACTGATATTTAAAATCAAAACTCCGGAGCCTACTACTATAACTAACACTATGTTGACGAATACTCTTGGATTGAATTTTATAATATAATCAAGCAGCTCTATTTCTTTAACGCTGCAAACTCCTGCTATTTCAGAAGCACATAAAACAACAATACCTATTTTCAACTGGCTACTCCTCAATCAACACTATAACCAGTTAAACATAATGGTTTCAGGCCCGACCGTTGTTGCTACCTTGACGTAATGGTCGGGCTTGCCTATCGTGATGAACCAATCGAGCTATACAGGCTGGAACAACCGTTCCTCAAGGTCCTACCATACCAGACAGGTCGGTTGAAGAACGGTAAGACTAAAAGCAACAAACCCAAGGTCCGAGGGCGAAGTCGTACTGCTGACTATACAGAGGTGTGACGGCAGTAAGGTGTTTCCTTCAGACGGCCATCATGGTAGCGATGCTGCCTTCCCACAGAGGGGTAGAAAAGATCGACCCTAAAAATGCACACCTCGCCTTATCCCACGGATATTCGTCTCCAGCGGTAAGGTCTCAACAAGTACGGAGCTAGCACGAAAACTACTCACAAAATGGTAGTGTGTGACCGACCTCAAGCAGTTGTCCCTTTGGCACTGAGGTCATACTCTCTAGTCACCAAAACCACCTACCTCTAATCCAATTTCCTTTTCAGGTACCTCCAGAAGAACCCTTCCTCCGTGTGGGCAACCGGGAAGTGATAACCGCCCTCATACCTCTAACAGAACCCAAGACCACTGTATTCATAATCAACCTCCGTTTTCACTTCCTATCATTCCTCCTACATCAACTTTCACCTCTAAACTTCTTTTTTCGGCTTCCTCCTTAAGTGTCACCATAGCCAACGATTCTAGTGCGCAAAATACTGTCCCAGGTCTACTGAAACCTCGCTCCAAACTACACGTTGGAGCCTTCGATGTACGCACTCTATGTCAAATCGGTCAACAGGCTTCCTTGGCTGGAACCCTAGAATCTCGTACCATTGATGTATGCTGTGTCTACGAAACACGCATACAAAACCCTAGCGTAGTCATTCACTTGACCTCACCTCGGAAAAACGGAGAGCCGACGAGATACATTTCCCGTGTATCTGGCGACCCGATGACTAGTTCTCGTGGACTGGCAGGCGTAGGCATAGCATTAAGTACAAGGGCAGAGAAAGCACTATTGGAGTGGATCCCCGTTAACAGTCGTCTATGTGCTGTTCGGCTGAACAGCTCCGTAAGAACTCGAAAAGATAGGGACACACGTCGTTGGCTTTTAGTCGTTTCTGCCTACGCTCCCACTGACTGCAGCTCAGATGAAGTGAGAGATAACTTTTACAGAAAGCTTTCTGAACTTATTCAGAAAGCTAACAGTTCAAACATAGTACTCGTAGCAGGTGACTTTAATGCCCAAGTAGGCAGCTTGAACCAAACAGAAAGATATTTAGGTAGGTATTTTGGTATTCCGGTGCAGCGAATAGATAATGGTGATCACCTGCTGCAACTATGCTCAGACAATCGTTTATTTTTGGCAAACACTAATTTTAGGCATAAGGAGAGACATCGCCTAATATGGTGACCCCCTGCACCAAACCAACGGTGAACTCAAATAGACCATATTAACATCAGTCATCGTTGGAGAGGGTCGATAGAAGATTGTCGCTCGTTGCGGGATGCCTGTTCGGACTCCGATCATGCTCTTATAAGGGTACGTATCTGCTTGCGCCTTACTAGACGCAGGAAAGCCACACCAAGAAGACCCATTAGAATTGAATTAAGTGATGAGAAAGCCGAAAATAGATTCCAGGAACAACTGAGGTCACACTTAGGTAGTTCTGAAAACAAGGCTGACCAAGATGTTGCTTGGAAAGATATACAAACAGCTGTGGAAACAGCAATGAAATCTATAAGTGACTTAAACCACAGAGTTACAAAGAACCAATGGATTTTCTCATGGTCTATTGCACTGATGGATTCTCGCAAACTCGTAAGTACGACTTCGCCCTCGAACCCTAAGTAGGGAATGCCAGGTAACTACTGATGGTTTGGAATACGTACTAACGTCAGCCTAACCATTCACAAGACAAAGAACATAATTTAAGTGGAATAAATATAGATACTAATCAGTTAATTCCATTGAAACAAAAACCAGAGGTCGAGTCCAAAGAAAAGTGAGTTCAAGGTGAAACAACTGTGTAAGTGATCATTAGTTTGGGTTTTTAAACACACGTAGGATATTTTAGCCTATTTTCTAGAAGCCATATAAGGACGCAAATATAGGCCCTCGCACCAAAGTAATTATTTTAAGGATATTATTTGATCTACATTGTACTACCATAAACTATCTAAAACTTTTTATAAAAAACTTAAAACTTACATAAATTAGCTCACTTTTGCCGACTAAATACTCAAAAGCACTTTCAACGCAGGTCCTGAAGGTGAGTTTATCTGGAGATCCTGTTAAGTGATTTCAATAACAATATACTGAGGTGTTAGAAAATGTTTTCCACAAGAAATTGGTCATAGGAGTAATGGAGAGACCATTAAGATGAATAAGGAAAAAACCTGTACCTTATTACCAATGATAACCTGACACTGAATAAAGGTTGATTAACATATACAGATGGACTGGGACTATAGGTAATACTACTAATCATATTTATATCTTAACCCAGTCCGACTTTAGAAGCTTTGATGAAAATTGAGTCGAGACAGATGGTTGAATTGCATTTAATTGCCAGTCTAAAAATGTGTTAACATAAATACGGTGATCAAAAAGCTAATATATTGGCTGCTTTTAATGACTGCTCTAATTAATTTTCGTTTGCAAAATCTAATAGTCCATAAATTGTATTAACACCAGGAATCCAGACGTGATTATCATGAGTGCATTTGAAGTTATAAATGTGTTACGAACACCGTACCTTTAACTAAATTCCAAATAGCTTCAGATGAATCCAATTTTCGTCCAGAAAGCAGGCGATTAAAATTAACACCATAAGCATTTCCATTAGGTCGATCAACTTTAATTGGTTTAACTAGTTCTTGAAATAATAACTGGAAGTTTACCTGATTCGAATATATTCGGAAACTCAGCCTTGACCTGTTCACTATTAACCATAGAGTTTGCTAGCCAAACTGATGAGTCGCACTCGTAAGCTCGATATAAATCCTGTTAATTAACATAATACTACTTTTACTTTTAAAATGCGTATTTCCTCCAAAAGGTTTGAGGTCAGTTCATTAGACTTGTAGGGCGCGATATTCACAGTCTGAAATGAGTACTAATAGAAAAATAGACAAACCAATTCTCCAGAAGCAAAAGATGGAGGGGGACTAAGTACTTTGTCTTCACATGTTTTATATCGAGCTTGGAATACCCCGTGAGACAGTTTGTACATGCACTCAAAAGCGCAAACAAAATTCTGAAACTTACAAGTCATGTATTTTGTCTTACAGGAAAAGAAAGCATTGATTCTTGAGATAATACTTTAATTGAATGATTTACATCAACATCTAGAACCTCATGCTGCATTAAAAGTTACTTACTAAACTCTGAACTAATGCGTAGAATTCTTTTGGACGTCTTAGTCCTTGGAAATAACCCAATCAACTGTTCACCCTTTTCACGTACAAAATAAAGTACGTTATCGACATATCCTCCAACAGGTTTACTGAAAGTGTTTCCAAAATACTAAACTTACTGCTCCAGAGGTTTGAGTCCTGTAAAGTCGAAGAATCTTGAGCGTGGCATTGTAGATTCTTTTTGTGAATCAGTAAAACTTGACTCAATTGATAAGTTCGCTATTTTTTCAATTTCTAGGGGGTTCCCTTCAAAGTCGTCACATGACGTTTCAGCAAAGCGATTGGAGGAGTTAAGACACTTATTTTCAATATCACAATTAATTTCAACATCACAAGGTGAATGAACAACTTCTGTGCACACAACCCCGAATTCTCGCTCCACTAAGGACAACATCAGGAGCAAAAACTACCGCCGTGGTCAGACAAACTCTATTTCCGCAGATGACCTTCAAGCGGTCAAAACAATTCCTGATTGTTGTAGTTAGATCACACCCATGGAGAACTATGTTACGTTTAAAACTTCTTGCTCTGACTACTAGGTTATCGTGTTATCTCTGACTTGTTGTCACTTGTTTTCATTAATAAATGTTAGTGTATTCTATGTTGTGAAGAAAGTTAACATCCACTGATTTATTAATTAGTTTCTAGCTATTATGTGCATTTCTTTCGTTAATTCTCATAATTTGTTCAATTACCACTACTGACTGTAAAACTGTTAAAAGAAACATGACCTTTGGTCTTCCGTTTCGCTAATGAACACTCATAGCTTGACAAATTGTTTATCACTCACAAATACATCGCTGTACACATATGCCTCTTGTTCTCAATTATCCACTGTTACGATCACAGAAATTTCATATATTTGTTTTTTATGTTTACAGTTTACAGTGATACCCTTATTACATGCTCTAACCGGATACATCACCCGGATTATAGTAATTGCAGTTGGAATTACCATCAACTCATAACTGTAGATTACAAGATCAAAAGGAAACTGAACACTCCTATCCTTGGCAATTTAATTAAGATCCAGTATAATTTACCCGTGTATAATTTATATAGACAACAATATAATATAGACAACCAGAGAGACCGGTCAAGGACAAAGAAGGCGAACCAATCACTGAAATTGAAGAACAGACGAACATATGGGTGGAACGCCCCGAGGAACTCTTAAATAGACCAGCTCCAGTGAATCTTTTGGATATCAAAGCAGCACATACAGACCCTCCCATAGATATCACTAGGCCAACGATCGAAGAAATCAGGATGTCCGGTCACCAAACAAATCAGGAGTGGGAAAGCAGCAGGACCTGACAATATACCAGCTGAAGGTCCAAAGTCAGACATAAAGGTAACTGCAACCGTGATCTACGTTCTATCCAGGAAGATTTGGGAGGAAGAACAAGTGCCAGTCGACTAGAAAGAATGATAAGTAAGTAGATCTTAGCGAATGCGAGAACTGAAAACGGAGGCCTCACACTGCTATCGGTGCCAGGAACATTTTCAACAGAGCCTTTGGTGAACCGGATGAAAGATTTAGTAGACGTCCAACTTCGAGATCTACAAACCGGATTCCATAAGAACCGGTAGTACACGGACCAAATCGCGACACAAAGGATCATTGTTTTACAATCAGTCGAGTGGAACCTCTCATTATACATTAACTTTCTTAACTGTGAGAAAGTGTTTGATAGTGTGGGTAGAAGATTATGGGAAATTCTTCAACACTTTGGTGTGCCCGAGAAAATCGTCAACATCGTACAGAATTCATACGACAAACTTCGCCACAAAGTCTTGAACGGAAGACAACTGACAGATACATTCCATGTTAGAACCGGAGTCAGCCTTTATATTTCTTCTGGTGGTTGGTTGGATTATGGAGACCTCGACATCTGAGGGAAAGGACAGAATACAATGGAAATCTCAGAATCATTTGGAAGATCTAGACTGTAGTGACTAACTTTTATCACGAGAACACGATTGGTTTAATGAAAACAATTATTATTATAACCAATTGTACCAGTGCCTGATTTAATGTGCTCTTTGTTTAACTGTGCTAATGACAGCTATACTGCGCTTCCATTATTATCCTTACACTTTGATTGTGACCTCGCGCGAATTCGGTTACGCTCAGTAACCAAGCTTGTATCCTGGCACGATCTCGGTATTCTTTCTATACCACGAGATCGCCAGCAAATATATATCGACTTGGTCCATTAACTGCCTTCTGATATTTGGCTTCCGGGGGATTTTATGGATATCCCGTCACGCGTCCCTTTGTAGTGGTGTTCATAGACTATCGCGATTCGACACCACGCTAAAAGACTTCGTAGACGACCTGGCTCTTCTATCCTATACGTACCAACAAATGCAGGTTATGAAAGCAAGTGCAGCGACAACCTCGGCATCAGTAGGCTTCAACATACACAAGGGAAAAGCAAGGTCCTAAAATACAACACGGAGAATACCAACGCAATCTCACTTGATGGAAAACTCTGGGGGAGGTGAAAACAATCACGTACCTGGACAGCATTATTGATGAAGAAGGAGGACCCGAAGCGTGCCTAAAGGCGAGTTTTGGCAAAGCAAAGACGACATCCCTACAGTTGAATAGCAAATGAAACCCAAATTAACTGTCAACCGATATCACAGTCAGAATCTTCATTACGAACGTCAAGATAGTCCTACTGTACGAAGCCGAAACGTGGTGAAGAATTACAACCATCATCTAAAAGGTACAAGTATTTCTAAACAACTATCTGCATAATATACTGAATATAAGTCTTTGACTATATTCCATCAGCAACAGCCTACTATGGGACAGGATAAACTAGCTTCCAGCCGAGTTAGAAAACAGGAAAAAACGCCGGATGTGGATAGTTTAGTGTCGATTGCCATGCTAAGCTCACGCAGCTTATTCTAGCTTTCGGACAGACCAGTTTATTCATCCTTTTTGAGGTGCATTTTGACCTTGTCAATTATTTACTTTTCAACCTTGGCGGTTTTATATGAGCGTATGTGTGTGCACTTCTTATCCTACCCATCACATGTTGGCAACTTATTTTTGTAATTATAAATATTGATTAGCGCTTGGTTAAATTGAGTTAGCTCACACAACACTACGCGTCATTTTGCTCCACTCTCTTTTCTTCGTATTTCAGATTTTCTGTCCAGATTAATAAATGTACAAATTATACGTATTCAATAATCCATTCTTGTATTTGACTTATCTTAATTCCATTATTCAAGTCGACGGTTATACATGACGATAAACGAGATGTGTATTCCAATAATATTGGGGTCGAATACCGGCCACTAAACTGGTGAGCTCACCAACAACGTACCAGACACAGCAAACTACGTCGATGATAAACTTTCTGCACTCCGTACTTTCAACAAGCGAACTCAACGTGGATTACTCGGTCGACAACCTCATCGATAGTACCATTAACCCATTACTAAATTGGTAAACTTGAATTCGAGCAAAACGCACCCTGAAAATCTGCTCACACGGTAAACATCTTGAACTCTACTCGTCCGACGAACGAACTAAGAGGTTGACTTAATCGACGAGCAACTCGAGCGACTCAATTTCTAATCCGACGCATTCATGGAATCTGGTAAAGCAACATCATGGACATGCTCAAAACGTATTATCATATCAACGGCATGTCCCCATGTCAATTCTGCCCAGTGATCTATTTGGTGGATCATTCCATTATGATACGTATATTTATCATATACAAATTATTGTCACATCATAACATAACGTGATAATATTATTACTGTTCGCACTGGCATTTAGTTACGACATTTGCGCAACTATGTCAGTCGTCTAAAGATTTGTAAGTTCGTGAACATTCCATCCACGTCATGACATTTGAAACTCACTGGACTATGTTTTACTACTCAGTATCGTAAATTTACCCTACTCTAAGTGAGTCTGATCCATGTTTTTCCATGTCATTTTTGCCCTACTATCGCACTCACTCACATAGTTGAGGTCACTTTTCACTTCGATATATTATATTATGTCTGTGAATGCCTTCAATTCTAATAAGCCTTTTCCTGAGACCGATCATCTTTATTTTGTTCTGCATCGTTTATCATTATTAGGGACTTAATTACTATCGTTCACTTTTGTGGACATATGGCTGTCGATTTCCAACATATTCAATAGCTACTCATAAACCGACCAACCTACAACCTGCTAAGTAAATTGGCGGTCTAGCATGCACACGAATCATCGGTCTTAGCAGTCGAGCAAAGCTCCTACATGCTGATAAACACATGGTCGCAGCTATCCCGACGCTGGCGACGGTTGTCAACTCTATCATAGACATGAGTTTGGAGTCATACTTTGGACAGTAGGAACTTGTGTTCTTAAGATGCAATTAATATTCAATCATCGCATTGGTACGCAGCGATCGTCATTTTCCTACTCCTTCGATGACAATCTAAACCGAACTTCGGCTATTTCTTGTTTAATCGATGATCCTTAACCTGCTATCTTTGCACATCGAGTATTCGACACAGCATTTGTAGCCGACTAGTAACGATTACGTCTATCTTGCCTATTCGTTGACATTTGTAAAGTTTTGAGCTAGCTTCTCAAGGATATGCTCTTACCCGTCATGCCGAAGTCATTTTCATGCTCCCGTCATGCATAATTATATGTATTGGAGTTTTTGTCACACATTATTGCAGTTTCATAACAAACGAGGTCAAGCGCGTCTCCCTCAGACGATCATAAAGGAATACGACTCCGCGTATCTTGTCCTTGCGGTCACCAATCTGTTCCTCCGGTCGTTCAACTAACACATATTCAACGACAACTCGACGCATCTGTTCATAACGTGAATGACAACGTACATTGACTCCTCATTTTATGATTGTTATCGATTGCAGCACAGCAATGAATATCATCTATCTATGCAGTTGTCATTTTACAGACTGATTAGTTTTAACCTGACGACGGAAACTCAATGTATGTAAATTCAAATCTACTAATCGCTAATCGACGCTATTTACTCAATTCCGACTCATTAGAATATGTGTAGAATTGTGGTCTGGTTCGTTATTAGTACTGTTATAATAATAGATCTAAACCTAAGATTGTAGATTTGTCATAATATGAAAACCTAATCTATAAGATCTCACGTGAAATTCACATCGTTGTCCAGTCTGACTCATTGTATCGTAACAATCAGCAATATAATGTAATATAATTGTTAAACTCACTAGTCGATCTAAGCCAGATCACTACAGAAAAGCTGGAAGCACTGGATGGTCGTTTCTCTCTAATATGGGACCGCTCAACAGCACGCATCCACGATTCCTTACGCGGAACTCAAACCCAGTATCCTTGATCTCACGCCCAAGCGCCTAACCTCTAAACCACTGAGACGGCATTCAACAGTGTTAATGTCTAATTTTAATCAATCCAAGATATATAAGCTTTATCGTCTTTTTAAGAACACATTTTGGCTGGAGGTAGAACAATATCCTTAGTATGAATTAAGGAGATGAGTTACACACGCTTGCAAGGTCATCCTATTGAATCCCGTTTCTCTCCATGTTAATCGTTGAATATCTATTTTCTCAGTTA